TGGCCCCCCCCCTTTTTTTTTTTTTTTTAATCACTACATCTTTACAAGGTCCAACATGGTTTTTCAACCACACAATTCTTTCTCCAGTCTCCTCAGGATTTTGGCCATGCATACACATTTACTCAGTGTATTTTTTTTTCTTTTTTTTAATTTTTAAAAATTTTATCGTTCTTTTTTCAATTTGCTCAGAGAGAGAGAGAAAGTGAGAGAGCAAGCCACCAGGTCTGGAACTTGAACTGTGGTCGGCCATGTGGGAGTGTCCAGCACTTTAACCACCACGCCACCTGCTGGTCCCTCTTTCTTTTTTAAAATACTAAATATGTTATTTAACATTATTTGTTTATTTTTAAATTTAACTTTATTTATTTATTTGTTTACTTATTTATATTTGACCAGAGAGGGACAGAGTGAAAGAGAGAGAGAGATGGAAAATGAGAAAGCAAGCCTCCAGGTCCAGGACTCAAACCGCTGTCAGCCATGTGGGAGTCCAGCTCCCTTCACCACCTCACCACCTACCTGTCCCTCTTTCTTTTTTTAAAGTAGGTTTTTGCCTTAGGGCATGTGAACTCACCAGAGAGAGAGAGACAGAGACAGACACAGTGAAAGGGAAAGTGAGAACCCCCTCATTCCTTGGGAGGGATGGCCACACTGCAGTCCCTCCCCCTTCATTCTCCTCCTGGGCTTTTGGGCGTACAAGCACACATGCCTGGTGTGATTTTCAGGCCACCGGGTCCAGGACTCAAGCCATGGTCAACCACATGGGAATCCAGCGACATAACTGCTACGCCATCTGCTGGCCCCACTCTGTGTGTTTCAAGTTACCGGGTCCAGGACTTGAACTGAGGAATCAGCCATGTAGGATCCAGCCACCTCAACGCCCATGCCACCTGCTGGCCCTCAGTATCTTCTCAGTCTTTTTCTGGAGAGGATTCTGCTATAGGGAGTGTGCGCTCACCAGAGAGACTGAGAGACAGAGAGATAGAAAGTGAGACATCACCTCCCAGGGAGGATGGTCACGCTGCAACCCCTTCTCCTCCATTCTCCTCTTGGGATCTTGGGCACGCACGCACACGCACCCGGCGTGAGTTTAAGCCACTGGGTTCAGGACTTGAACTGCGGTCAACGACATGGGAGTCCAGCGACATAGCCATTACGCCAACTGCTGGTCCCGCTCCTCAGTCTTGCTAAGACTTCATTCCATCTTTTTGCTCTTCCCCCATGTCTGTCCCACCCAGTCCCCTTTCCCCTGTGTGTGACCCCAAGTTCCTGCTGGACTGGGCCGTACTTCTCCTCTCCCTGGGGTCCCTCTGGGCTGACTGCAATCCAGGCCCCCTCCCTGCAGCCCTCTCCCGACCCCGTCACCTCCCCCTCCTTCAGAGCAGCTGGCACCAGCCTCCACACCCTACGCCTATGAGGATGACCCCGTCCCCCTGGATTTGGGACACCTGCAGCAAGACGCGAAGTTCAGCACCGCAGACCATGAGGCAGGGGACTCGGACCCTGAGCCCGAAGGCGAGGCCGAGGACAGGTGAGATCCTGGCAGGCCCCAGCCTGTCCCTACCTGTTCTGGCCCCAGGTAGGCAGTGAGAAAGACTCAAGCAGAGGGGTGCAAGTTTCTAGGGGTGAGGTGGGGGATCCCCAAAACTCTGTCCACCCCACACCTATCAGAGAACAGCCGTGTGTGTGCAACCCTGTCAGAGGCTCACACTCCACTTTCGGACAGCTCCGTCCCGGGGTCCTGTGCATGGGTAGAGTAGGGGCTTTACCTAGTCAGGAGAGGGACCAGCAGGTGGCGTAATGGTGACCTCACTGGACTCCCATGTAGTCAACTATGGTTCGAGTCCTGGACCTGCTGGCTTGAAACTCATGCCAGGTGTGTGTGCATGTGTGCTCAGAATCCCGAGAGGAGAATGGAGGAGAAGGGATTGCGGCATGGCCATCCCCCCTGGGGGGTGATTTCTCACTTTCTGTCTCTCTGTCTCTCTCTGTCTGTCTGGTGAGCGCATGCGCCCTATAGCAAAAATCTCTCTTAAGGACCAGTAGTTGGTGTAATCGCTATATCACTGGACTCCCAGACCCAGGTAGTTGACTGTGGTTCGAGTCTTGGACCCGGTGGCTTAAACTCACAACGGGCGCGTGTGTGTGTGTGCCCAAGATCCCGAGAGGAGAATGGAGGAGAAGGGATTGCGGCATGGCCATCCCCCCTGGGGGGGTGATTTCTCGCTTTCTGTCGCTCTCTCTCTCTCTGTCTTTCTGGCAAGCTCACGTGCCCTATAGCAAAAACCTCTCTAAATAAATAAATAAATAAATAAATAAATAAATAAATAAATAAATCTACTCCCTGGATCTTGGGGACACAAGCACATGCACCTGGTGTGGTTCTCAAACCACCGGGTCCAGGACTCGAACTGCAGTCGACCATGTGGGAGTCCAGAGCTTTAGCCACCACGCCACCTGCTGGCCTTCCGTGGGTGGTTTTCTATTTGCTCTGCGTCCCCACACAGGCTGCTCCACCCTGGCCACAAGTGAACACCAGAGCCTGCTTGGAGGGAGAGAGGCAGGTCCTGGGCCGTGGTCTCCCGTGTTGGGAGGGGTTGTGTTGTCTGAAGGCGGCAGGGGGGGTCCTGAGCCACCTGGTGGGGGTGCGCCTCCCCCCTTCAAGGCCTGGCAGCTCCAGGGGGGGCCTTCTCTTTCTCTCCTGCTCAGCCAAAGCGGCTTCTCTTCTGAACCGCCGGCAGCCCCGCCCCGCGCAGGACCACCGGATCTGGCTGCACTGCCCCATCACCTATGACCCTGTCTCCTGGCCAGACAGATCCCGCCCCAGGTGACCCCAGCTGTGAGTGAACCCAGTGATCAACAGGACAGCAGAGACCCGCCCAGCTCCTGAGGAGTCTCCAGGGTCCAAGGGCTCGTCTGCAGTGGGTGATCTCAGTGGGGTGACAGCTGGAGGTCCCCTGGGCCCTCCCACCTCCCCAGCTGCAGCCGGAGCTTCCGGGTGCCCTACCCCCAACTCTGGGGCTGAGCATCCCTGTCTTGCAACCTGACATCTGCTTGCAGAAGGAACCGTCTGCTCCGTGCACAAAGGCGTCTCTGAGCGGACACCAACAGGGATGTGAGGCTTATGCCCTTCTTAGCAACTTTGATCCTAAATGAGCCTTTTTCTCTGAAATACAAAATCCCCACTTCCTTTGGGGTATCCGGGCCACTGAGCAATCCAATCCTCCCTAGATCGGGACCCTGTTTTTTTTCCAGAAGAATTAGGAGCCTTGCAACCTCCACTGTCACCTCAGGGGTCCCTGAATGTCCCATTTTGATCTGTCAAGGCCTTGGGGTGGGGAGAGGTGGGGAAAAGCCCATCGCTCCAGGCAAGTGCACTTTCGGGGTCTCGATCCCTGGGCTGGGTGACCTTCTGGGACTTCCCAGAGCACCCAAGCCTCCTGGTACCTGGTCTAGCCCGAAAGCCGCATGCTCAGACCTGCCTGTCTCTGAGAACTCCCCGGCTGCCCCAGCACCCGCACCCGGCTCTGCGATCCCTTCGTGTGACCCTCTGAGGGTCCCCGGTTCTGTTCCCCGGGAGGCATCTTTGAGATGGTATTTATTTCAGCCCACATTGATCGCCTATCTCCACCTGGGGGCAGCAGAGAGACCCCTCGCTGCTTGAGTGGCTGCCCTGGCCATGGGATCCCTGGGATCGTGAGATTGGCATTTCCCAGCACCAATCACGTCTCACGCTGACCCTGGACCACCTACTAGGGACACGCCCAGGCCCTGGGGCCACCCGTGTCAGTTTCCACGGAGTCACGGATGGGCTGAGGCCTGGAGTCTCTGGCCCCTGCCTGGCTTCCGTGGGACCCTGAGCTCCTATTTCTTTATCTCCAACCAGCTTTTCAGTGTGGGGTGCGTGGAGGGTTTATTGATGTGAGACACCTCCACCCCAAGACCATCAGAGACCTCGTTGGAAGAGATAATACAGTGGATCTTCCAATGTTATGCAAAGCGAGTGATGAAATGATCCATAAATGTATACGTTTCCTCTTTTCTTTTTTTTTTTTAAGTGCACATGCTTTCGCCACCAGAGAGACAGAAAGCGAGAAATCACCCTCCCCCCAGGTGGGGGGATGGCCACACCGCAATCCCTTCTCCTCCATTCTTCTCTTGGGATTTTCAGCACTCATGCACACACACCAGGTCTGAGTTTCGAGCTGCCGGGTCCGGGACTCGAACCGCAGTCAGCCATGTGGGAA